TTATTGATTCTATGCAACTTTTCCCTATATGATGCTAATGTTTGGGAATGGACTATGTCAGAGCTCATGCAGCTGCAGATGACAGTTTTATCTTCATTTTGGATAAGTTGAAATAACAGTATTGGACTGAAGACTATCCTCCCTTCGGCAAAGGTTTTATCAATAATCTTAGAAGGCAGCGAAATGGACCCCGTGGCGTTTCCCCTCACCCCTTGAGCACCTGGTGGCAGTGTTCAAGTTCTACAATCTCTTGTTATCAGTGAGTGAGGGTGTGGGATGGGGGGGTTCTAGTCAGAGAAGCTAGGGGCTTCACTAGTCAGTCTTTGATCAGCCAGGAGTTGCCTGCGTTTTGACCTGACGCCTACAGCAAACTGCTTCCAAGTGTTCTATAACAAAGACTGTACCTTAGAACAATCTGGGTACTTTACAGCTGAAAGGGTCCTTGTTGGTGGGGGGCAGTCAAAGAGCACTCTCTGAAACAGCAAGGGCTGTCTGGATGTTTGCTCTAGATCTTGGATTAGCCTCTTGGGCCCTCTGAGGTGTCACTATGCAGAGAAGCCACAGATCTGGAGAGGTACGGAAACCACGGAGAGAATGCTTAGGACCCAGAGGTGCTACTCCTGAGAACACAGTGCCTCTGCAGCGGGGCGGGGGGGAGCTGGTTAAAGCAGGGGAACCAACCCGTGGGGTTCACCTGACACCGCCCCCACTGGCTGGGCACCTGTAACCACCACGCCCCCCATCTTAAATGGTGCCTTTTATGTAATGTGGTTTCTGAATATGCTAGCTGGATTTGAGAAGTTTTTAGACCGAAGTCCTGCCTCATTGTAATATCCTTTTACATGTAATCAATACAATGTTGATTTCATTCTGAATGGTGGGGAATCCGGCTATTTGAGATGGAAGCTTTAACCAGGCTCCGGACGGTTTCCTCTTGGCATCAAACCCGTTTAACTCAGAGAAAGGAGTAGCCTAATCTTCGCATCTGAATGAGATTTCAGGCTGCAAGGTGGCCCAGCTTCTCTCTCCCACCCCTTCCCCGAAGCACTCGGTGTAACAGGGTGCTTGGCACAAAATGGGCAACTCGAATATTGGTTGAATGAAACCTAGGGGGGGGGGGGCAGGGCTCTTTTAAAAACAATAGAAACAGGCAATGGGTTGGGAACATAAAAAGCAGAAAGCTGAGCATCCTCTCCCGGTCGGAGTACATCCCTTGTAAGAAAACTCTGCCGATTTGAACGTTAAAATGGCAAAACACTAATATTCAGAGAAAGAAGTTGTGCTGACAATATGCAAATCTGATCTTTTGACAGGAAGTGAATTAACTTTGCTAGCATGTAAGAATTTCTGAACGCTTTCCTGATGGATGGTATCTGAACACAGAACCAACCAACCCTGCCCAGGCACTTTTAACGTCGTCCTTAGTAAAGTTACCCCTTAATAACCTTGCTATGGATCTCGAGGCAGAGGTGCCTTTGAGTTTAGAAAGTTCTGATTTAAAGAGGCAGATTTTGAAACAAATAATACATTATGTTAAAAAAAAAGTAGGAAGGGGAAAATGAAGGGGGGGGAAATTGGAGGGGGAGACGAACCATGAGACTATGGACTCTGGGAAACAAACTGAGGGTTCTAGAGGGGAGGGGGGTGGGGGGATGGGTTAGCCTGGTGATGGGTATTGAGGAGGGCACGTTCTGCATGGAGCACTGGGTGTTATATGCAAACAATGAATCATGGAACACTACATCAAAAACTAATGATGTAATGTATGGTGATTAACATAATAAAATTTTTAAAAAGGCAGAATTTGACAAGTCACAAAAAATAAATTCACACTAACTTTTTAAAAAGTCAGTTTGCACATTTTCATTAGGGCAGTTTAGCTAATGTCAATTCACTGTCTTTTTTTTAAAGATTTTATTTATTTACTCGAGAGCCTGCACGTGGGAGGTAGGGGCAGAGGGAGAAGCAGGCTCCCCGCTGAGCAGGGAGCCCAGCATGGGGCTCAATCCCAGGACCCTGAGATCATGACCTGAGCTGAAGGTAGGGGCTTAACTGACCAAGCCACCCAGGTGCCCCTCAATTCACCGTTTCTTAACAGGACAAGCTGGTACTTGGTTTGTGGTATGAGATCTCTGAAGTTTTGCCCCTTTACTGGTTTCTTTTGGAACACACACACACACAGAAGGGAAGCGGAGTATTAAGCTAAAGTAAAATGATCGAATCTGGTTTCTTAGGTTAAGGTTTAAAAACCCACCACACTATACTGGGTAAAACCATTTTTATTAACCGACCAAGCACTTCATTTTGTTTTCTGATTTGAGGTAAAACCATGAAACACGGTTCACAAGAAAATACAAGGACTAGTCAACTACAATTACAAGAGTTTGAAACCTCACTAGTTGTTCATATAATACTTTTACAAATTCATACAACTGTACAGTCTACTTAAGCGAAGTTTATTGTTAACCAAAAGACCAGTATCAAAGACCTAGACGCTTGGCCTACTACTCTCGCAGTGGCTATGGTTTTGTAACAACAGAAGAGTAACTGTTACCTTAAGGAATATACTTTAAAAACCACTTGGCTAGTGATGTGTACTTTCTTCTTCCTGGGGGGTGGGGTGTGTGTGTGTGTGAGTGTGAAGGCTCTCCGGAGGGCAGAGGCCTGGGGGTGGGGGTGTGTGTGTGTGAGTGTGAAGGCTCTCAGGAGAGCAGAGGCCTCGGGGGTGGTGTGTGTGTGTGTGTGTGTGTGTGAGAGAGAGAGAGAGAGAGCTCAGGCT